AGTCTCCCAACAGACAGCAAACTCCTGGTGATCAGTAGCTTCCCCATAAGGTCTCAGAAGTTGGGCTAGTGGGCTCAAGCATGTGCACTAACAGACCAAATGGCAGAGTTTAACTGGTAATATGACCTTCCTCTGGGAACACTTGACTGGTAAGAGAAAAATGCCTCGGATGAGCATGCACACAACTTCAGTAAACACACTGCACATGCAGCCCCTCCCAAGTGCTGGCAGGCCACTGAGCATGGAAACAGTCCACTCCAAGGGAAGAATCAAGGGAGAAGAAATGCAAACCTCAGAACCTTTCCAATGTATAAAAACCCAAGTCAAGAGTCAGATGGGGCATTTGGATCTCTCAAGTTGCCCGCTTGGCCCTCTTCCAAGTGTACTTTACTTCCTTTCATTCCTGCTCTGGAATTTTTTAATAAACTCTCACTCTTGCTCTAAAACTTGTCTCAGTCTCTCACTCTACCTTAAGTCCCTTAGCTGAATTCTTTCCTCCAACGAGGCAAAAATCCAGTTTGCTGCAGATCCGATGATTCAGTGCTGCTAACAGGTACACGTTTTCCACTTCACCCCCTGCTCCCACTGTAGCCCTTTGTGGGACCATCTGTGTGAAAATTTCTATTTTCAATTTTTCCATTAATATGAGCCAAATCCTTGTTTCTGGTCCCTACACAAAGGTTAAAATTCAAGTGCCTAAGTCAACTCCACTGAGCATCTGAGTTCATCTATCAGTTCATAGTCTTACTGCCCCAGTTTTCAGATCCTTCTGCATTTTTGTCCTCTGGGATTTTTCCTGACCTTTGGGTAAACTCAGCTACGCATTTCAAAGGAGTATACCAAGTTGCTTCATCTCTTCCAGCTGTTCTAAAGATTTTGTAGTAGGCAAGGCTTCAGGTTACCTAGTCTGCCACCTTGTAAAAAAAAAAAAGAGGTTACTCATAAAATGGCTAGATGCAAAACTATGCCCGGGATCAGCACCTTCTCCGCAGCAGAACCCTCAACATTTATAAAATGATGAGTTTAGTTACATCTTGGTGACTTAAAGAATAAATGAGGTTACAATAAGAAGCACTTTAGTGGTGTAAGGAACTGAGGTGCAGAAAGAGAGTCAAATTTGGGACAAGTTTTTTCCTCGTGGTGCTACAAATACGGATTGTCCGAGCTTTGATCCTTTTTAGCTCAACCAGCTAACTTACCTCTTTCCCTCTCCATCTGACTGCCTTTCAGCTTGGCTCCCTAGAGATGTCTAAAGCCGTAAGAGTTAGTGCATACTTCAGGGAATCCACTGTAATGAGGAAAACAGGAGCCAGGCAACTCTGGGCTAAAAACTCTTGAAGTTCTGGTCTAGATAAACCTAGGGATTTTTTTCTCTATAGTAAGAGATCATGAGACCCCAGCTTAGATTAAATTTATATCCATTCCTAAAATTGGCACACATGCACAAAAAACGCAGACCAGTCTAAGAAAACTCCTTCTTCCCCTTGGAAACCCTACAGTCACTCATCATTCATTCTAGTCCTGAACTCCTCCAGTTTGGAAAGGAATCCTAAAGTACATTAACACAGATGTAGCCATCACAGGAAATTCTTGAAACCCTTTTGGAAATAATTCTAGGCCAATATTCCTAGAGAGACTCATAAACAAAGAAACACTGGACTCCCCACAAATTCAGTGTAATGCAAATGAGATTCAGTGTAAAGAATCCTGAATTCCTCTCTAGTACCAGGAATCCTCTGATATAAAACCAGTTACTTGTCATGTCTGTGTGCCCACTGTCCGTACTGCACTCTCTGACTCCATTATTCCCTGTGCTACATGGGATGAAGCAATACCTCAGAAAACCTGGTGTGTTCTGGGACAACCCCAATAGCACAGTTGTATCCATTTGCTCTAAGAACTGATTTTCCTCCAAGTTTACACTCCTATTGCAATGTGCTCACTTGATCAAATGATGTGTGCCATAAAAGTTAATAATACACCTTTTATAAATGGTGATTTAATTTTTATTTTTTATTTTTCTTTTCAGAGACAGAGTCTTATTGTTTCACCTAGGCTGGAGTGCAGTGACACAATCATAACTCACTGTAACCTGGAACTCCCAAGCTCAAGCAATCCTCCTGCCTTAGCTTTCCAAGTAGCTAGGACTACAGGGCGTGCCACCACCCCCAGCTAAGTTTTTTTGTTTTTTGTAAGAGACAAAGTCTCTGTTGCCCAGACTGGTCTCAAACTTCTGGCCTTAAATGATCCTACGGCCTCAGCCTCCCAAAGCACTGGGATTATAGGCATAAGTCACCATGCTCAGCCTTGATTTATTTTTTCTGCAGAATTAAACCATTTGTCCCTTGCTATGAATTTTTCTAAAATGTGGCACCTTTAATATATCTTCTCATTAAAAGATGAAGATGAGGCATAATGGTGAAGAGTTCAACAGTTACATAAAACTCTGTAAGACTGTATTTAGTCTGAGAATAAAAAAGACCACTTTCAATTTTAGTTAGGCTACACATAAACTGTAGGCTAACTATTCGCTTATTTCCTAAGCATACCTCCTGCTTCTTTCAATTGTCGAATTCTGCTTGAATAACAAAATATAGAGAAAGGCTAATAGACATATGGTGAATGAGTAACAGGGTCAACCATCAATCAGACCTGTGTTCTTTAAACAATAAAGTGGCAAAACCTCTCTACTCCTCGGTTTCTTGATCTGCAAAATGGAGATAATAACTCCTATTCCACGGAGTCATTGAGAGATGTAATTGAGATAATTCATGCCTGGTGTAAATGCTCAACAACTATTAGCTCTCATTTTATTTCCAGCTATTGAGTGCTTTATAGAGTACAAGGAATTATTTATTGCATTTAATTTATTTCTTTCAAATCTGTTCCCTTCCTCAAAATAAGCATTTCCAGTTAGCACAGGCCTCATTAGCTCCAGATAAAAAAACAAGCAGAATTAGATCAAAAGTCAGCTTCTTAGCAAAACATATATTTTATATATTATATAATGTATTATTTCCAGCAATTGCTTTTAAAATGTAGTTTTCACATAGGTTCCTTCTCCTTCTGCTCTCAGTGCTTTGAGTACAAAAAAACTCACAGAGAAACCTTTGGCCGTGTTAGGTAACTCCAACCACTATCCATTCTAGTATCACAGGCACTGCTCCAAGGCTGAGGCATATTCTGACAAGCCATAGGTGAAAGCCTTCAAAATAGACGTGTTATTAAAACTATCATTCTAAGTCCAAGAAATAATTACAAAGTATTTTAATAACTTTCTAGAGCCTGAACATTTTATCTCAAATCACATTCTTGAATTTATCACTTGTTAGTATAAACTAAAATATGAAACATGTGAATGTATTTTTCCCTTTGCTATTCATCTCCTTTAGTGAGGGAAAAACAATGAAATTCTAAATAAGCTTCCCTCTCAGTACTGAACAATGGTGGCCAAAATCTATATGTAACATCAAAACAGTTCCCTGTTTCCCATGGAACTGGACAACAATCCTGCCTAGCCTACATTTAGAAGAAAAGGATATTACCTAGCTTTCTGATCTATTGGGGAAAACAGATCAAAATCTTTCTCAGTAACTATCTCAACACACAACAAATACCTAAAGTGGTTTATTATTGCCACAAATCTAATTTTCATACTAAGCCAATCTCCTTATATTCTGGCCTCAAAACTTACGGAGAGCAGGCCAGATGCAGTGGCTCACGCCTGTAATCCCAGCACTTTGGGAGGCCAAGGCAGATGGATCACCTGAAGTCAGGAGTTCAAGACCAGCCTGACCAACACAGTGAAATCCCATCTCTACTAAAAAATACAAAAATTAGCCAGGCATGGTGGCAGGCACCTATAATCTCAGCTACTTGGGAGGCTGAGTAGAACTGCTGGAACCCGGGAGGCAGAGGTCGCAGTGAGTGAGCCAAAATCATGTCATTGCACCCCAGCTCTGACCGACAACAGCGAGATTCCGTCAAAAAAAAAAAAACAAAAAACAAAACAAAACAAACAAACAAAGTTACTGAGAACAAACCAAGAGGAAATTATACTGAAAGACCAATCCTTGTGTTTCATTATATAATGAAAGAAAGAAGTGAAGAAACTTAGAAAAATTATACATCTACTTGTTAGCACATCTTCATGCCTGACTGATTTGATAAGTATATATCACAAGCTAGGAGTCAATACAGGGTGGCCCACTTTTTTTTTTTTTTTTTTTTTTGAGAAGGAGTCTTGCTTTGTTGCCAGGCTAGAGTGCAGTGGCACAATCTTGGCTCACTGCAACCTCTGTTTCCCGGGTTCAAGCAGTTCTCCTGCCTCAGCCTCCCAAATAGCTGGGACTAGAAGCCCACACCACCACACCTAGCTAATCTTTGTATTTTTAGTAGAGACAGAGTTTCATCATGTTGGCCAGGATGGTCTCGATCTCCTGACCTTGTGATCTGCCCGCTTCAGCCTCCCAAAGTGCTGGGATTACAAGCATGAGCCACCGCGCCCAGCTGTGGCCCACTTTTAAAACAACCTATTAATAACAAAAGTCTCTCTCTCACAGGACTGTCAAGAGAGTTAAAGAAAATGCCTCCTGTACCAAACACTTTTATTTAGCCAGGCATTGCAGACCAATGAAATTGCAAACCTGGAAACCTTCATCTTAGCCCCACTCTATGAATCATTTGAATATACGCAAATCAATAAGATTTCCTGAGTCTTATACCCACTTGTCAGTATAATGGAATTAGTACCTGCCCTCCCACCACCCTATACAAAAGTCCTAAAGGATAAAGAACAAAATCTAAATATTGTAATGCAGTATACGCTTCCTGGAAAAAAAAATTTAATGTCTTAGGTAAGAAAAATACACAAAATACTCCTTTTTCTTAGGGCAGAATATTTGTAAAGCAGACAGACTACTATAAGCTAAAAAATTCTTAAATTCTTTTGAGTTTCAAACATAACACTCACCACAGTAGAAAGGGGAAATATAACCTACCCCATGTTTCCATCCATCAGAAGAATCGTGTTGTATATGTGAGAAAATATGAAGAGAAAGAGAATTGTGCTGAAGAACATTGTCATCCATGACCCATGATCCTCTCGAAACATTTTTAATCGGAGCAACTGACCTGAAATACAAATATTATTAAATATTAATGTACATTGTAACTCAAAATTCATGGATCTTTGCTTTATTTTTATGAATCTCTATTGTCTCATTATATTCTGAAGTCTTTGCCATAGGACTGCCTTATGAGTAAAGCCACAATATAATGTTCCTTTTGATCTTTTGTAAATAAATGATCATAAATAAAGTCCAAGACGATCCTCATATCACATATCATCCTAGAGTAAATAGTACTAATCCAAGAATCTAGTGTTCAGAAATAGTACATTATGCTAGCATGAAAACAAGATGAACTACAGCCCTACTTAGCTGCTACTTTTTATTTTACAAATATGTTTTTGGTTCACACTGAAACTACTTAAGGCAAATGGTAAAGTTGCATGAATCCCATATCGTTTCCCTTTGCTTCTATAGATCCATTCCCAATACTGGCCAGATGATAAAACCAAGGCCAACCTTACTTATCAGGTCTAATTGTTTAAGGTACATGAAAACTTGAAAGAAAAAATTAAGTCTCTGTTATAAAACACGCAGCTTAGCCTCACTCTTAACACTCATGCCCCTGTACAAGTACAAATACAAGTACATATGAGAGGTGACAGTGTATGTGTTAATGAAGCTAGGTGTGGCTCCTGGCAAAACATAATTTTCACCCTGATGACTAAAATTCCATTTATGAAGACAAATGCTAACGTTAGAGAGAATGTTAAGATGCAAACACCTTAAGGAAGAAACATATATTAAGATGAACACTAAAGTAAAAACTACTAATATAATTCCACCAGAGAAATGTTTTGATTTATGGTAAAGAGAAAAGATGGCACTAGTACCCTGAAAGATGAGGAAGGTGAAAAACCTTGGGAGTAAGAAAGATGTGAGCATAGGTCACCCTAGCTTCTCCCGAGATAAACTGTGTCTATTTTACTTACCTCCCTTCCTAAGAATAATAGTGGAGATGACGTGCATACAGGAACTACAATTAAAATAGAATAGACCTGAATCTTACAATAAAATTTCTTACTATAGAAAATATTCCCTTTTTTAATGATATGCCAGTTATGAAATATATGTATGTATTTCTACCTGGAAATTATCTCTCTAGGGACAAACAGTATCTCTCACATATCTCACTGAGCACAGGAAGAAACACTCTTTTAAGATTTAACTATTGAACTTTTCCTTATATCTCACCTTTATGAAAATAGCACTTTAGATTTCATTTGGAAACCAGGCTAACAGAAACATTATCCTAGCTAAAACTTTAGATGGAGGCTAAAAAAGGGGGGGGAAGAGATTTGATTACATCATGCCATGGATTCTTGGCCTATACAAGAGAAGAAAGGTTAAAACTGAAAGGGAGAATGTGACTGTATAACTAAAAGAAGAATGTGGAAAACCTTCCACTAAAACAAATGATACTAGCCCCATAAATTATAAGATCATAGAACCTGCTGATTAATTTAATCAATGATTATGAAAAGCCAGGGATTGTCAAGCCTCCACACAACATACTGACAAGAATATTGTAAAAACATTTTAACCACAGAATGCTTGAGAGTAAAATCACATGCCACAAATATCTTACACTATAAGGAATATTTATTTATTCATTGAACAAATATTTAATATGTGCCTATTACATGCCAGACACAGTTTAAGTGCTGGAGATTCAACTGTAAGCAATGCAGGACAGTGCTTGAAGTCAATTATCATTTAAGTATTTAATGGAATTGTGACCTTACTTTGGACTCATGGACTCTCTTTGTTCAGGGGTCCCTTTTCTGCAACTCCTTTCAGCTTTAGACCAAGACTTATTTATTTAATTCAGCAGTTGATAATGAAGCACTTCAAAGACTGGCAATTAGAGTTCCCTTAAGATTTAAATGTGAATTTCTTTCTTAACATACACGTGTGTCAAAAAAATTCACTAACAAATATACTTTAAAAGTCAAATAATAATGCTGGTGACTTAACAGTGCTTTGCAAATAAAATATTGTGGACTAACTGTACATAGGTGGAAATAATACAAAGTTAGCAAAAAGAGAGATGTAGCAGTACCGTTTATGCTGTCATTGCCAAGCTCATTGTCTACCACTAATTTCAGCCATTAGTGTCATTAGAACAAAATGGTAGGTTACCATGACTTTTATTCGAAGACAACAAGAAAAGTGCTGCAAAATATTAAGTCCAGAACTAGTATGACCCAAGTGTTGAGTCGCATTGTATTATAAAAATTTCCCATAAACTACTTAAAGTTAAGTTAACTCAATAAGTAACCCTCAAATGTTAAGAAAAAATTATTTAAAAAAATTTTTAAAATAAAAAATATACACAAGGACTGCCCTCAGCTCACTGTTCTCACAAAGGACTTCTCCCATGCAATGTAATCAGACCAAGAACCTTGGAACTACCTGAGGATGTCAGATGGAAATACATTGTCTCTGCCCTTTAGGGTGACTATATATGTGGTTTGCCTGAACAGTAGTGGTTTATAATTGTTGTTCTGGCATAAGTATTAATAGTAACCCCTTCCTTTCTTAAGTACGCTTGTTTGGAAGATAAATTATGTGCCACTTTTCCTATAGGTCTATAGGTCCCAGAATTCAGAATTTTATGACTTTCTTTTAGAGGAGTTTCAGGAGACAACCAAGTGACAACAATCCTTACAGGCCAATAGAAGTGAAAAACATCACTAAGAGGGATACATTTCTGACATGGTCAAAAATGATTATTTGAATCACAGATATACTAATATTTGTAAATCTGAGTGTGTATTTATTTTATTAATAAGATCCATCTTGCAGTATATAGACTGTCACCTTCAATACAGTCAAAAAATTAGAAAATATAGCTTAGAACAATCAAAAGCATTAACGCGGGACACAAACCTGCATATGTGAAGAAGGAGAGGGTGGGAGGGCACAGGAATTGATGATTATGAATGTTGGCTAAAGTCCGATGAAATGGCCTAGAACTTCAGAATGTTTTCTGGAAATACAGTAGGTTTAGGAACACTAAGATGTCATAAAATTCTAATGATATAAAAGCACATTTAAATGTGCATGTAAGGGGCCGGGTATGGTGACTCACACCTGTAATCCCAGGACTTTGGAAGGCCCAGGCGGGCAGATCACCTGAGGTCAGGAGTTCGAGATCAACCTGGCTAACATGGTGAAATCCCATTTCTACTAAAAATACAAAACAAATTAGCCAGGCGTGGTGGCGCGTGCCGGTAATCCCAGCTACTTGGGAGGTTGAGGCAGGAGAATCGCTTGAACCTGGGAGTTGGAGGTTGCAGTGAGCCAAGATCGCACCATTGCACTCCAGCTTGGGCCACAAGAGCAAAACTCTGTCTCAAAAAAAAACGAAAACAAACAAAAAAAAAGTGTATATAAAATGAACCTATGTATGTTGTGGAAAATAGAGGCAGACAATTGTGATAGGGAGAATTATGGAGAAACTACTCGGTTTCTTGGCCTTTTTGCTGCTGTGTTCTCTTCACCAAAAGAATGGAAAGAAGATTTTCCTTTCTACCACACTGCCAGACTTTTTTTATTGAGAGTTCTAGGTCCCTTTTCTTTAGGAGTGATTTTCATATGGAGACCTGTGCAAAGAAATACACTACACAGTCTCAGAGGAGGAGAAGTGTTTGTGTTTCCAGGTAGGAGATGTGGGGAGCCCTACCTCTGGAAGATTGTTAAAGCAGGGTTCAGATAGACCGAGGGCTTCTGGGTTCATAAAGAATACAAGGATTTAGGTCTCCAAGGTGGCAGAGCCTCATTTGGGGATGACCACATGGATATTGGTGAAGGCCAAGGTATCAAGGGTCATGATGACACATTTTGGCTCTGTGTCCCCACTCAAATCTCACCTTGAATTATAATAATTCCCAAGTGTTGTAGGAGGTCCCAGTGAGAGGTAATTGAATCATGGAGGCGAATCTTTCCTGTGCTGTTCTTGTGGTAGTGAGTAAGTCTCATGACAGCTGACGGTTTTATTAACGGGAATTCCTCTACACAAGCCCTCTCTTGCCTGCCACCATGCAAGATGTGACTTTGCTCCTCCTTTGCCTTCTGCCATGATTGTGAGGCCTTCCCAGTCATGTGGAATTGTGAGTCGATTAAATCTCTTTCCTTTATATATTACCTAGTCTTAGGCAAGTCTTTATTAGCAGCATGAGAACAGACTAATACACATGGCTTTGGAAGTCTGAGTTATCAACCTAAGCTAGTCCCAGGGGAATGGTGCCAGTAGGGCAGCCACCCACCTCTATTAGGCACGCAATGACTTACGTAGATCCCAGGCACCTCAGACAGAGTCATTGTGCCAAAGTGGTAGAAAACCATTACTGAAGCAGCAGTAGGAGAAGGGGTAGAGAAGTAAAAACAAGCTGAAGGAGGCTTTTCAGTATGTGTAGCCCTGGAACTTCTGTAAAACCTTGGTGATAGAAAAGGTGATTTGAAATATTATTAATATTGGACTCTCTGCTTACCTTGGTAAGCAAAAACTCAGAATAAGATTTAATTTAGATGAAAAAGTATGGCATTACACATAAGACCCTAACTAGGAAATATAAAAGGACAAATGAAGGGATTCATTCAAGAGGACTCCAAACTGAAATTAACACTACTGTCCATTAAGTCTTCTGCTCTAAAACCTATATATGATTTGACCCACACATATATACAAGAAACAAATAGAATCTGCAGTTACTTAAAGGAGTATATTTAGTTTGTTGGAGTCAAAAGATATAATAGGCAAAAAATCAGCATAGCAGGCATTCCACATATCAGTAAGAATATTCCTGTTGCAAATAACAAAAGCAAAAACAAAACCTAAACTTCAACTAAAACTAGGTTAAATTATAAGGATTCTTTATTGGCTTCCTTCTCACAATTTCTTTTTTTTTCTAGCTCTGGCTAGAGTGCAATGGTACAGTCTTGGCTCACTGCAACCTCCGCCTCCAGGGCTCAAGTGATTCTCCTATCTCAGCCTCTGGA